GCAAGGTTATTTGGACGTCATGATTGTCACATAATTATGGAGGTTCTTCTTCCAAGCATAGTATGTATGTTACTCGAGTACATATCAAATCCGTTGATTGAGCTTAGCATTTTCTTCAAAGACTAATGTTCATCTAAACTAAGCAAAGATACTTTACGGAGGTACGAGGATAACGTACCAATCATCCTCTGCAAGTTAGAAAAGATATTTCTCCCTAGTTTTTTTGATTCTATGGTTAGAGCAAAAAAGATCGATATGTTAGTAGTTTAAAGATTTAAAAATACCTGATGGCTATGGATCAAATATAAGCCGATGTGTTGACATGAAATCTGTAAGGTTATTTGGACTCAAAAGTCATGATTGTCATATAATTATGGAGGTTCTTCTTCCAAGCATAGTATATATGTTACTCGAGTACATATCAAATTCGTTGATTGAGCTTACCATTTTCTTCAAAGACATATGTTCATCTAAAATAAGAGAAGATGCTTTACGGAGGTACGAGGATAACGTACCAATAATCATCTACAAGTTAGAAAAGATATTTTCCCCTGATTTTTTTGATTCTTTGAAACATCTTCCAGTCCATCTATCTTATGAAGCTAGAGTTGATGGACCTGTATAATATCGTTAGATGTATCCTTTCGAAAGATAAATGAGTTCAAATTTTTATTAAGTCTCAAATATTTTTGAATAAGTTGGGATAACATAATTTTATTAACTTAATGATTGTAATTATTCAATAGATATTTAAAAAAGTTGAATAAATATGTTAAGAATAAAGCACGACCAGAAGGATCAATATGTGAAGCCTACTTGTTTTAAGAAACAACTTATTTTTTCTCCTACTACTTCGAGCCCCATGTAAGTAGAACAAGAATAAAGATTGGTCGTAGCATATACTTCGATGTAGAAAAACAATCACATGCTGCACTATCAGAATTTAAAAGGTCAGGAAAGCTTAGTAGCAAATGTGTTGAAAGATTTCTTAACGATTTAGAAATAAATACAGCAAATTTGTATGTGCTACTAAACTGTGAAGAAGTCGAGCCAATCTTAGAGTAAGTTCTTGCATAATGTTAATAATGAGTAATATTTATTAATTTAAAATACTAAAGTATTATTTGTCACAAGGTATTTCGTAAGCAATTTTTCTTTGACAGATTCGTTGGATATTGAGCTAGCAGTTGCAAATTAATTTCCAACTTGGTTTAGATCATATGTGAGCACATTAATTTTAAAAATTTAAATTTTATTTATTATAAAAAATACTAATATTTAAAAATATTTATATGTACAAAATTCTGATAACAAATATTTTGATAAATATTTGCAAGCACTAGCATGATGTCCAATGCAAAAAGTAAGAACTTGACCAATATATATATAGTGAATGAGTTCATATTTCATACCAAGTCATGGCGTGAAAGAAGAAAGACTGAAAATTATGGATTATGTGTTAGATGGAACATTCATGAAGAAAATGAGTGTGATTATTACGGTATTTTAAATGAGGTTCTTGACCTGGAGTACCCAGGCAAAGATGAGAACTTTGTATGCTTGTTTAACTGTCAATGGTATAATCCAGTACAAAATAGAGGCACAAAGTTTCATCCTATGTATGATTTAGTAGATATAAAATATAGTAGAAGATACAGAAAATTTGATCCATTTGTGTTAACAAGTCAAGCTATTCAAGTTATTCAAGTTTATTTTAGCAAATATCCCAGTGGTCGTAGAGACAAATATTGACATCATTTTTATATGAGGTCACTCGGGCCAATCCTGACCCTAGATCCATCTAGATTCCAGATCAATCCTGATCCCAAGCCAATCCATATCTAAATTTAATTCAAGCCTTAATGAAAATCCAAAATCCAACCCAGTTCAGAACTCAGACTCCAGTTCAGGTATTGATCCTACCTGTGAGTTAGCTCTGATCCTATCCAGTCATTAATAATCACCCAAATGATTATAGATGATTTGGATACTCAAACTTAATCAATAAAACTCAAAATCCAGATCAATTCCAAAATCCAGACTCAAATCCAAAGTCTAGAAGCCTTGTCCTAAAGGCCTTTTCCAGTGAATTTTCAAACACTTCAAAACCCTATCAAATGACCTCCAGTCCCCGAGTGAGCAGGGTCAGGGACCTTCAGATCCACCTCCTGTTGTACCTCCATACTTCCCTGGCCACTTCCCTCCTCTCTCAACGAGTCCTCACTTCCCCTCTCCAGATCAAACACATGCTTCTCCATTCTATCCATATTACCCCACACCATCATCACAGGCAGCTGGTCCATCCACTGGTCTCCAACCTCCTTACCCTTACCCATATTACTACCCCTATCCGGTGCAGCATGAATAGGGTGGACCATCTAGACCACCAGAGGTTGGCGCTAGCGATCATGCAGCTGCAACAGATAAGCGTCAATACATTGAGCTTGAGGGCGATAAGTAAGTCAGTTTATGTTATTAAGTTGTTTGTATTTTAATATATTACATGTTATTGACCAAAAAAGTAACCTGCAGCTTCAATCCTTCAAGGCTACCTATACATATAATCCGGGATATTATAAAGAATAAATATGATGCTCCTTACTTATCCTGGAAGAAGATTTCAAAGTCGGTTAGAGATATATGGTTTGGAGAATTTCAGGTATATTTTTTTGGTATGATTTCAAATATATGATTTAATTTGTACTAATCTTTTTGGTATTACCTAAATTTTTACATAAAGAATTTAGGTGGTTGCCTGAGTACAGCACGAGGATCAGAAAAACTTTTGAGAGGAGAGGAGTGACCCATCTCAGGGACATGTTCACGGACATTAGAAAGTTCGGGAAGCTTCCTAATTGGATTGAAGAGGGCATTTGGGCTTATTTGAGTAGTGCTTGGGCGACCCCTGAGTTTATAAAAATGAGAGAGCAGAATAAATAGAACAGAGCCCCTAACTGTAGTGATTTAGGAAGCTCTCTTCATACTGGTGGATCAGTACCTCATAAAGAACATAGGTGGCGACTGGTAAGTGTTTTGAATTAGTTTATTACATATATTTATGTTATTATAACTAAACATCAAATTTTCAGAAAGAGCACCTTGGTCGGGAGCCAACACCATTGAAGTTGCATACAAGAACTCATCAACATCAAGCTGACCATTAGTGGGTTGATGAGAAGGCTAAAAATGCTCATGTGAGTAAAAATTTTCGAAGTTTTATAATAAAAATTTATTTTCATAAAACTAATTGTAACTCGCAGGAAGATTTTGTACGAGCTAGAGAAAGTCGGCAGTCCACTAGCGAGGGATCATCTTCAGGATCAGCCCATATTTCTGAGTATCATACATGATCAGATGTTGTTGGTAGAAGACAGAGGGGGAGGATATATGGCATGGGTTCACAGGCTTATACTATTGAGGGAAGTTCATCCACCTCTGCATTTCATAATCCAAGTGGAGCTGAAGAAACTGTAAACGAGAGGGTTGCAGCGCTGACTAGGGAGATTGAAGAGATGAGAAGGATTCAATCTAGAGAGATTGAAAAAATGAGAAAGGTTCAAAATGAAATGCAAGCAGAGCTGCAATCTTACAGAGTTGAAAATCAAAGGAAGAAGAAGCAAGAGGAGCAGCCATCTCCAGACAATAAGGATACAGTTGAGGATTAGATCTTTTTTATTTTTAATGATTGTAGTTAGAATTTGTGAACTTGTGATTGTAACCTTATTGAATTTAAAACTTGGTGAACTTGTTTTATGTTTGATAAACTTATTTAGAATTTCATAATGTTTGATTGTAAACTTGTTTATTAAATTTGTGGTTATGTATATAGTTGTGATCAATATAGCGGCGTATTGCCCAAAATATCTTATTATGTATTGCTATTTCTGCAGGTATAGAGTTTAGGGTGAACCTCCCTCAAATAGAGGGAATGCTGTCAATTTTTTTTTCAGGTGCTACAGGCTTCCGGTGGCCAACCGACAGTTTGGCCGCCAAAAATGACGATACCGGATGGCTAAAGATAAGGTGACGGTAATTTCCTTACACCGCCGGTAATATACCGGCGGTTATCCGGTGAAAGCCCGGCGGTGTATACCACCAGTAAAACCGTCGGCCGTGACCCCCGGGTTACCGCCGGCAATACTACCGGCGGTGTACCGACGTTTGCCGGCGGTTGAGCGAACACACGATGACCTCTTTAACCGCCGGCAAGCCTTCGGTAAAGTGCCCGCCGATTAGCCGTCGGAAAAATTTCCTGCGACGGCTTAACGGCCGGAACACCGCCGGTTGCAAATCCGGTAGTGACCGGCGGTATTAGTCGCCGGAAAGCCGCCGCCTCATAAAACTGCCGGTAAGTGTTTCCTACGCCATTTTTACCGGCGGCTTTAAAGCAGCCGATAAGCCGCCGGTATATTAGAAAACAATCGGTTTTACCATACTAACTGCCGTTTTTTGACGTTTTTCCTGTAGTGTTGGAACTTGTGTGAATTCTAAAAAAAATTAACATGTAAGATACTACAAAATTTACACTTAATAGCCATGCATTATGATGACTTTTGTTTTCTTTCATAATGGTATATCCTTATATTTGTCAAGCTTTGGTTTACACTCAGGGAAGTAGTAAAGGAATAGGGGGATAAAGGTGAAGAACTTCTTTTATGATACATTTAAATACTTTAGCTGGCACAAATGTTCCTCTATGATCATTTCATCACCATTGGCTATTTCTCTCACTTCATCTTATGCCATTTTCATCACTTATGGATTTCGAATAAATTCAACCATACTCCAGTCAAGGGCTATGAATGATATATATGTTCCCACAATAAACATATCCAACAACATATACAGGTTAAGAAAGAACTTCATCACAAAACAAACTGCAATATATTTTCTATAGTATAATGATTTTGACTTTTACTCATACAAAAGGAATGAATTAATAATTTATATTTATCACACATTCCAAGATATTTTCTTAGTTTTTCTTAAATAAACATTTATTTTTTAATAACTTGTAAGTTAGGAGCTTACTTCAAAATATTTATTACATAAAATATGTCGTTTTGGCCAAGTTGATAATTCATGCATTGCAAATCTCATATAGAGGTATGGCGTACATTTATTTGATATTGACAAGTGTTGGCACTAATTCAAGTTTCTGTTTTCTTAAAGAACCTAATCCTGGACTATCTTCCATTTTCATGACTTCTTTAGAAATGCCACTAGGAAGAGTCCAATTGAAGCGAAGCAATAGATTTGCCAGAGTAAGTTCAACAACTGCAACTGCAAATGGCATCCCCGGGCAAATTCTCCGACCTGCACCAAATGGTATCAAATGGAAATCTTTACCTCTATAGTCTATAGTACTGTCCAAAAATCTTTCTGGTTTGAACTCATCTGGAGAATCCCAATAAGCTCCATCTCTTCCTATAGCCCATGCATTGATGATGACTCTTGTTTCTTTCGGAATGTTATATCCTTGCATTTGACAAGCTTCGGTTGACACTCGGGGAAGCAGTAAGGGAACAGGAGGATGGAGACGAAGAACTTCTTTTATGACAGCATTCAAATACTTTAGTTGGCCCAAACGTTCCTCTGTTATCATCTCATCTCCATTGGCTATTTCTCTCACTTCATCTTGTACCTTCTTCATCACTTCTGGATTTCGAATAAGTTCAGCCATACTCCAATCAAGGGTTATGAATGATGTGTCTGTTCCCGCAGCAAACATGTCCTTCATATGCAGGTTAAAGAAGAATGTCATCATAAAGCAAACTATGATATTTTTTATAGTACAGTGATTGATATATAGATATGAAGAAAGAGAGAGAGAGAGAGAGAGAGAGAGAGAGAGAGAGAGAGAGAGAGAGAGAGAGTAATGTAATTTATGTAAAATAGTTACCATTAGTATGGCCTTGATATGGTTCCTTGTGAGGACAAAGTCCGTGTTCGAATCTCTCTGCAGTTGAAGCAAAATATCAATGAAATCCGTATTCGTGCCATTGCTGTCACCCCCATCCTTGCACCTATTTAGATGATTCTCTATAAACTCCTCCAAAAGAGAATCCCATGTGTTGAAGTGAGTTCTAAGTTTGGCTTCAGATCCTAAAAGCACATCCAACCACCTTAACTTTGGGAAAAGGTCCTCAAAGAACATAACAGAAAAGAAAGTTGAGTTCCTCTTCACCAGTTCGCAAACAAGGCTCGTTCTCTCATCGCTCATCGATGATCCTAAAACAACTCTGCAGAGAATGTTGCTTACTAGTGAATTCAACATCTCAGTGATGCATACAACGCCATTATCACTCGAAGCCTGATCTGCAATTCTTTCGAGCAACTGAGCAACCTCTTCACTACGAACAATGCTGAAGGACTGCACCATTTTCTGGCCAAGGAGATTATTTACGCTAATTCTCCTCAGCTGTCTCCAACAATCACCATATGGTGAGAAGGCTATGTCAATGTTGTTGTAGGATAGAAGCTTGGATACTTTGGAAGAGGGCCGACTAGCAAATACCATGTCGTGTGTTCTCATGAACTCTTGAGCAAGCTCCGCAGATGAGACTACCAAAGTTGGAATGGAGCCTAGATGAAGAAGCATGAGGGATCCATGCTTCTTCGACAGCTCCCGGAGTGATTGGTGTGGCAGAGAGCCAAGTTCATGGATATTACCAATCAAGGGAAGCCCTGGAAGTGAAGGTAGAAGGGCTATCTTGTTTGAGATGGCCCTCCTTCTTCCTCTTTCTGCTAGCAGGAAGGAGATGGCAAACAAAAAGAAAGCAACTAGAACCAGAGAAGGACTCATGATCTTAATTGAGCAGCTTGCTTTCGTTTTTCTCTCTTGTTTTTTTTTTGTTTGTTTAGGGTTTCGTGTGTATTTGCAATGCCCAGCTCCTCGTTATTTATATAGGAGATGGAACGAGCTTGCTTCTTGTTGATTTTTTTAATTTCTACGTGCAATGTCAATTCAAATTTCTGCTATATTGAACCGTACGATTTGGCGATAAATTCAATTTCCAAATCCGACCGTTACTGCTTTATTAATCAAACAATTCGGAGAAAATTTTTTTGACAATTATATTCTTCTTATTAAAACCTTACCTGACTACAATACCTGAAAATTGACAATTATATTCTTATTAAATTCCCAGCTACCCTCTTCACGTTGGAAGCTAAACAATGTTTCGCATGGGATGATTCCTCTCCAATGTGAAAGAAAGTAACAAACTAAAGAAAGTTTTATTTTATCGAGAAATTGAGTTCTGAAACGCTAACACAAAAACTTATCTTAAGGTTTGGTTTGTGTCGCTTTTTAAATTATTTTTTTTAGTTCAAAAGATTTAAAAATTTTGACTATTTGAATTGTACCCAAATTTTTTCATGATTTCAAACATAAAATGAAGAAAATAAATCATAATTCTAGCGGTCCTCTCTCTAATTCAACTTGGCTCTTTGAATTAAGGTTTCAAAACAAAATTTTGATTTGGTCTCAACTTCTATAATTTCCTTATTTCAAATGTTTCATTGATCATATTTGAATTTGTAATACACGGAGTGAAAAAATATTGAGAAAAAGATCAAAATGGTCTTTTGAACTCCTTATAAAACATTAAAATGATCTCAAATTATATTAAATGATCATTTTGCTCACTTAATTTTTTTAAAATAAACTAAAATAATCTCACAATGAGACCATTTTGATTCTTTTTTAAAAACTTAAGGGACCAATATAATCATTTAATATATTTTGAGATCATTCAGGTCCTTCATAAAGAGTTAGATGCTCATTTTGATCATTTTCCCGAAAAAAATATGGGAGTCCTAGTGTGTCAGATATCAACGCTCATCTTGTCTAAAAATAAAAAATAATTTTGAAACCTATTAGATAGCTGAAATAATGACTAAAATTCAACATAATATATTATATTGTATTTATTTCAAAATATAATAATATGCATAAAATTATATTGTTTTGGAGGCATATAAGACTCGTTTTTTCAGCTCTCGCCTTAAGCGCCGCCTCAGCCGATTTTAGGGTTCCCTCCTCCTTCCTGAGATCTCCCCGCTTTCGCGTCCTTTCCACAGGAGATCTCTTGTCTTTTCCTTTCTTTGTTTTCACTGGTGCTCATATTTGCTAGTTGGCCCTGTTTGGGCCCCAAAGCTATGGCGGGGGCTTCATCCTCTATGCCTTAAGGGAATGTTGCTTCCCATGTTCAACATTCAAACAAAGGTTTTCCTAGCTTGGATATGGGAGTTCCTTCTCCTCCTCAGTCATGATCCTTTAAAGAGGTTCTCTCTGGCTCTTCGTCAGGTGATACACTTCCCTCTCTAACTCATTCTACGTTCAATGGAGTGCGACTGTGTTGCTTTTGGATGAAGAATTTTAAAACTCGCTTCCCCTTTTCAATTTACTCTGGTTGACAAATTGGGCTTCGTAGTGGATTCCATACGTGCTTTTTTTGTAGCTTAAAACTAACGGGTTTTTACTTTGTTGGCCTTATGGATTTGAAACATATTGCAATTCAACTCTCAAATGATCTAGACTACAGTCGTGTGTTTGCTTGCAGTTCGTATTTTATCCGTTATTGTCAAATGCGTATTTTGAAGTGGATGCCTTTTTTTGATGTTAGAGAAGAATCCCCCATTGTGCCTATTTGGATCTATTTTCCTAATCTTAGACTTCATTTTTTAATGTCAAATTCCTACATGCTCTTAGTTCTATTTTCGGCCGCTCCTTGCAAACTGATCAGGCAACTACTTCTAGAACCCGACCGCCTATGGCTAGGGTTTTAGTTGAAGTAGATATCACTAAGAAACATGCTAAGGAGGAAGTGTGGGTCGGATCTAAAGCTTTTGGTTACCTACAAAAAGTGGAGTTTGAAAAAGTTCCCGATTTTTATAATCATTATAAAACTCATATCCATGTGGTTTTAGAATGTTTTAAGTTACATCCAGATCTATAGATACTACTAAAAATTCCAATAACTCGGTGGGGAAGGATATCACTGAATCTATAGATACTACTAATGAGATTACTGAGGACCTAATTCCTTTGAATCAGGCTGGGATCCAATCCCCACCCGAGATTGTTGGCAATGAAAAAAATTCGTATAATTTGAGACTTTTGAATGATAGTCCTAATCTTACTTCAGAAATAATTTCTCCTAATGAGAAAAGTATTAAGGTAGGTGATAAGCTTCCTAATTTTTTTGTCTCTATTGATTATATGCTTCAAAATAAAGAGAATCCCTCTTTATTGATTAATGTGGAAAATATCGAGAAAGATATTGTGGAGGAATGTGAAGAAGGGTAATTTATCCCTAGAAACATTTCTAGCCTTAATTCTATGGTTCACTACAGGAAATTTAGCCATTACTGACGGCTTCGATCGGCGGTTGGCGCACCGCCGGTAATAACGGTTTCTGACGTCATTTTTTTTGACGATTTTACAACTACCAAAAAGCCGCCCGTTTTTATAAGAACCACCGGTATTTACAGATAAACTGCCAATAAAAACCGCCGGCAATGGTTGAATTTCCTGTAGTGGTTCATGTTAATAACAATGATAAAGGGGGTGATCCTAACACTTCATCTTCTTCTGATCTCTTTGATAGTGGCTCTAAACCTATTGATGAGGATGGTGCCTTTAAGGTGAATAAGAAGAAAAAGAAAAATGGTAAAGCTCCTTTACCTGATATGCCTCATTCAACGAGGGCTCAAACTTTTACTAAAAGTTCTAATGATTAATTCACTTATTTGGAATGTAAGGGGTGTTGGGTAGTCTGACTCTAGGACTTGGGTAAGGAATTTATGCCATGTTCATAACATTCAGTTGCTGGTTTTACTTGAACCTTTTATTTCTTCTGATAAAATGACTAGTACTGCTTCTAGCTTAGGTTTTAACATGATGTTTACTAATTGTTCTAATAAAATTTGGATTTTTTGAAAAAGTCATTTCAACATCAATATTATTTCCAATTATTGCCCAAGTTATTAATGTGCAAATTTCTTGTTCCAATGTTAACTGTAATGCCTCTTTTATGTATGCTACTTGTACTAGATTGGGTAAGGTTCCTCTTTGGGAGATTTTATCTAATTTTGCTCTTAGCTTTAATAGCCCTTGGTGTGTGGGCAGGGACTTCAATATTGTTTCTAATGCTAGTGAAAGAATAGGGGGGAACCCACCTAAAATCAATGCTATGGAAGATTTCAATAATATGATTTCTAATTGCAATTTAAATGATATTGGCTTTACTGGTGGTGTTTTTACTTGGAGTAGATCTTCTATGTAGCAAAGACTTGATAGGTTTCTCTTTAAAAAAGAATGGTTAAGAGACTTTCCTATGACTCATATTCAGCATTTGAGTCATAGTTTAACTGATCATGCTCCTTTACTTTTATCCGTAGCTGCTAATAAAATTAATGCTCCTTCTGATTTTAGGTTTCAAAATATGTGGCTTACTCATTTTGGTTTTTTTAAATTTTATGTCTAATAATTGGCATGCCAATATTTCTCCTGATAACAATATTAAAGACATGTCTCATTTGTGGGCTAAAATGAGTAGATTGAAATAAAGTTTCAGATGGTGGAATAAAAATATTTTTAAAAACATTTTTTGCTAATATTAAAGAAACGGGGAATAGGGTTGTGGCATTGGATAAGTTATTTTTGGAGAATCCTATAAGTGACAATCTTTCTAAGCTTGATCAAGCTAAAGTTGACCTTTTCCAATTGCAAAATCAAGAAGAACTTTTTGGAAACAGAAAGGTTCGGCTAAGTGGACTTTGGAGGAGGATATGAACACTTCTTTTTTTCATGCTTTGACCAATAAGAATAAAACTAAGAGTTATAACCATAGAATTATTAACATGCAAGAGCATGTTTATGATATTGATGAATTAATTGTTAACTCTGGTATTGATTACTTAAAAAGGTTTTTAATAGTATTAAGATTACCTCCCCTATTACCAACCCTAATGTTATTCCTTGCTCGGTTGGTGAGGAAGACAACATTTTTCTCACCAAAGCCCCAACGGATGAGGAAATTTAGAATACTGTTAAAGATATGAATGGTTAAACTCTTGCTGGTCCAGATGGTTTCACTCCAAATTTTTTTTATTAAAACTTGGGATATTAATAAATTAGATGTGGTGGAGGTTGTGAATGATTTTTATAATGGCAATCCTTATCCTAATTTTTTTCTTCCACTAATATTATTCTTATTCCTAAAAAAGATTCTGCTAATTACTGGATTGATTTTAGACCTATTAATCTTTGCACTTTCTTTAATAAGCTTGTAGCTAAAATCATTGCTTCTAGGTTAATAATCATCCTGCTGAGAATCATCTCTTTCAACTAAACTGGTTTTGTGAAAGATATGAGTATTTTTTATAATATTCTTTTGACCCAAGAGATGGTGCATGATATTAATGTCAAAATCAGTGGAGGTAATCTCATCTTCAAGCTTGACATTACTAAGGCATAAGATAATTTGAACTGCCATTTTCTTTACAAAGTTCTTTCTCTTTTTGGCTTTAACCAGTCTTTCATCATGCTTATTAAGAATAATATTGAAAACTATTATTTTTCTGTGATCATCAATGCCCGTAATCATGGTTTCTTTAAATCTGAGCACGGTCTTAGACAAGGAGATCCTCTTTCTCCTGCTCATTTTATTATTGCTATGTAATACCTCTGTAGAGGTCTTGAGGATCTTTATACTAGGTATCATACTCTCTATTTTTGTACTACTGGTGGCATTCCTATTACATATCTTAATTTTGGTGATGATTTTATTATTTTCTTGAATTCTTCTATTAAGAATGTTAAAATATTAGTTCAATTTCTTTCTCATT